ATATAGCCCATTCACATTTTTTTAAAAAGTTAATGCAACATGGATTCTTAAAAAAACATTTGGGACACAAAATGCTTGAACAAAAGAGACTTTTTTGTCCAAATTAAACAATTTTTATTAAATCTGGTCATTTTTTTTTTATGTCCAACGGTAGTATACTTTTACAATGTACATCTAAAATTCCTATGCTAAGTACATGATTCTATACTTTAATTATATAATCTATATTTTATAAATTTTTATTTTTCACTGAAAACTAATTTCTTCTCTAAATATAGCTTTTTGAATTAAAATTTTAGGCTCTGCTTTTTACAACTTTGCTATCTGTTAGCACCAAAAGTTTCACTTAAGAAAAATCAAGTTAACTTTGGTTTAATAACATAGTTACAAGGAAATTTTATTTTGGGCATGTACATTATCTTGATATCTTTAAAATGTTACGGTTATTGTTCTAATAAATATAAAATATTCAGTCAGATTTTTTAAGTTAAATTTTATGGTAAGATTACTTACGTAGCATAAACATTTTATAGAATCAGATTGGTACTCTAACTTGATTTTTTGGCAGATGTGCTTAAAGTATTGAAAAAGTGTTTAAAAAAAAAAGCTTATACAGTGGGCATTCTGTATTTATTTACTGTCATTTTTCAGGCATGTTCATTTTTCCCTCTTCAATCATAACATATCATAAAATATGAGATATAAACACACTCTAGCTTAGTACACTTCAGTGACTTTTTGCGTTAAAGTGATGTACCTTTCAAATGTATATTATTGAAAATATTTTGCCACTATTCATTTTCTTTAAACTGCATTTTACTGCTTATAAACCACTTCTTCCAAAAACAAAAAGAAATTTTACTGCCTCTTGTATGTAAATATGTTTAAACATTTCCTACCAAAATGTCTTTTTATATGTTCTTGTGTCTTATCAACTGTAAGATCTAGTGAAAACATTTTTATTTCATTTAATTCTCATGCTTTCTATTTATTTATTTGTATACATATGTTTTTTTTTTTTTTTTTTTTGCTTGGCATTCAGAAATCTTTTTTTCTCCCCCCCCCACACTTTTTCTTTTGCATGTGCTATTTTCTGTTGTCATATATTGCCATTATACTGATTTGTTTCTTCTTTACAAGACTGGTTCACAGATCTATACCTTATGTGTTTATTTTGGCTGATCCAGTATAATATAAAAGGGCCATAGCCACTAACCATAACAGGATATTTAAAACTTCTGAATAGGCTTTCATTAATTTTAGTCTAATCTGATATATGACATAGATATAGTTTATTTCAGTATTTATAACATCTCAAATTGTTAGTGTTGAGAAATCTTCATCCAAAAGAGACCAAGAGACATTTGCTTTAATGTAAATTTAATTATAGTTGCACTTTTCCAAAATTATTCATGATATTAATCAAATTAAGTATTTGCATAAATTAAGAAAGAATATTCTAGTTCTTAGATAATTTGTAAGATTATACAGCCAAAAGTTATTTATCATACATATAAATTTTTTTTTATTGTTGTCAAGGAATTAAATGTAGTATATCCTTTTGTAAACCTATGTTTTGCTTACTGTTCTTCATTTTGTGTTCTGTAAAGGTTTACATCCATACTTCATAAACTTAGTACTTGTTTCTTATTTTCTTTTTTTTATGTATTTTCATCACCTCAAGCTTATAAATGTGATACAAATTGATAGAAAATCAGTCAACTTGTTTGTTGAAAATGAAAAAAAAAATTTAATAATTTGTCTCTCCTTATATTTTTTAGTAATTGATTTCTTGCTGTTCTTTACCATTTAATTCTTTGTGCTTGCAAATATTTCTAATGAGTTTTGGGGTTGTCATCAGATCTACAGCCTGATTATATCTGTTGAATCAGGCATATGATCTGTGTGGTCTGTGACAGGAAAACAAGAAAATATAAAGCCACTTTTTCATTTGTTACAAACTTTTAAAGATGTAAGATATAGGATTATTAATTTAGAATAGTCCTAATGAATAATTCTTTAAACCAGTTGGATTCTGGGATACTACTTTGAGAGAGCTACTAAAATCTTCTTGGCCCAAACAAGAAGCCATTAAAAAAAAATTTGATGTTTGGTCATATTTCAGAAATTGAGTTAAGATGAAAACTTTTCACTTCCTTCAAACAATGTTTCATCAACAAATTTAGCCAATTCGTTTTGGGACATTTTCTTTCAATATATATAAAATTATGTTAGTAGTTTGGAATCACTGTGTCTTCAGCCATAGTAAAAAAATTATACTATGGACACTAACTACCTTTAATGCAAGCTCTTTATTTGCATTTGAAATAGGCTTTCCTTTTCCAAGATAAAATTTTGAAGTTTAAAAAGCCTAAAACTGATGCTTTTAAAATATTTCTCTACATTCTTCCTTAAATTAAAACAATTATATAATATAGCTATAATATTTTACATCTAAGCCAGTTCCTCTTGTAGTAATTCAATTTTAACAAGCTTTCTCTATCTGGATGAGAATATTTAAATATTTACCTTTTCTATTTCCTAAGCAAATATTTATTATTCAATGCATAAATTATAATTAACCATGTATCGTTTATATCTGATCATTGCAAAAGTTTGTGCTTGATTTTCATTGTTAATATAAAATGACTGCAACTTGACACTGGTGATTATTTTAGTGCCAATTTCTAGTGTGTTTGATATTGAAAACTTTCATCGTTCAGACTTTGTTGAATGTTAACGTTTTGTCCACAAATGTATGCCTTAAAGATGGAAGATGAAAAGTTGTGCTTTTGCCAGATTATGCTCTATGAATTTTGGAAAGTAATAAGTGTCAGAATGGTGACAAAAACATTCAGAAGGTTTATTTGGATTGTGATCCAGCTCTTTGGACAGTTAAAATAAGTGTTTTGGCAGATTTTATCAGGGTGATTTTAATCTAACCAATCAACCACACTCTGAGTGACATTCTGATATTGATGAAGATGCTCTGCTTGACATTGTGGAGAATAAATTAAATATTTTAATGGAAGAGATTGCTAAGAGTTTGAAAATCAATATCTCAACTCCCTTTTGTCATTTGAAAATTGAAGAGACTTGTATTTGTTTCCAAACTTGACATGTGGATGCTAATTTTTTTGATGGAACAGAACATGCTCAATCATTTTTCTGTGACAATTTCTACAGAACAGTTTAAATGACAAAAAAGTTGACTGTACAATCAATCAAAAACTATCACACAGCCTTCTTCTAGCAAAAAAACACAAAGTTTCTATGAAAATGGCATCAACAAGCTTGTAGAATGGTGAGAAACAATTGTTAAAAACAATAGAGACTATTTACTTGACTAATAAATGTTTTTTGAGTATGTAAAATTTTGTTTGTAATTTTCTAATTGGGCACAAAATTTTGCAATGATTTTGCAATAAACATTGATAAATGTTAATCATTATAAATAGTTTCATTAAAGAATGATAATCATTGATAGCTTAAAATGGCATTGAAAAGTATTTCAAATGTATCTGCTTGAATTTGTAATATTCATGAATACATTTTAAAATTTTATAAAATAATTAAAAATAAACATTAGCTTGTTAGACTATTTGCTTGAACACTAAACATTAAATTATTACCAAAAATGCATTCATATACAAATTGAAACATTATTTCAATTTTTTCTGAAGTTCTTTGCTAGAACTCTTATTATATATCTAAACATTTCAAACTAAAATAATTTCTGCAGATCAGAGTTAATTTTAGATTTATTTTACCTTATATTTGTTTATTAGAAAAACTTAACCAATTTCATTCTTTTTTTTACTAGTGCTTAAAATGTATCTTAAAAATTCTTTGTAATTACTGGAAGTAAATTTATTATCAATTTAAACATTAAATATCTCAGTTGGAATTTTGTGTCATAAACTTGAGAATTATATTTTAATATGATTATTTTAAAAATTATAATTGATTTTTTTTTTTTTTTTTGTCCAAATTATATATAAATTTTAGTTATGTTTGCTGCTTACATTATTGTGAATTTTCAAACATTACCAAATTATAAAAAAATAGTTTTTGATAACATTTAGGCTTTTAGATTTAAATATCAACCTTGATTTGACAGTGTAAATAAGTGAAATAGGCTGTTAAAATAATATGTAACAGAATTTCATTGATTACAAAATTTTATGCTAATAACATTGTCACATTACTATCATTAGCTAAAAAAAAGTGTTAGTTTTTTCCAACTATAAAAATATGAAATGATGTTCCTTTTTTCTCTTAGAATAAACATTCATATTTTATGTGTTTATAAAAGACAATAAAGACAGCACAGTTGAATTTTTACCAGGTCTAAGACTGCCTTTTTAGAATATGAAAATTATGCCATTCATATGTTTTTGTCAAAAAAAAAAAAAAAATTTAGCATGCAATGAAGTCATGTATCTAACCAACGTCTTTATCCACCAGCATATTTTTCTTCACTGGATCTAACCAACGTCTTTATCCACTGGGTCATGTGTCCATACATGGCCCAGTGACTAGACCCAAAGAGTTGTGAGTTCAATACCAGGCCACAGCAGTGGTGAACCAAAACTTGGAGAGTTGAGTTAAAGGGAAATAACTGAGCATCTGAAAGAAGCATGGCACGTGGAACTAGAACAATCTACCTTGGTGGACAAAATAAAGAGTTTGGTTTGAAGTTCCAATTACCTGAAGAAGTCTGGAGCTTACAACAGCCAAAACATTGTAAATATGGCAATGAAGATGAGGATAACAATCTGAGTAATGCAAATAATGTATAAATTACAATGCAAAAAGCCCTTTAATAATAAACACATTTTTATTGCCATTTACATAATTTTATTTGTAAACCTTTGAACCACTCTTGTAAAAAAAATTGCTTTAGTTTTTGTTTATTGATAGCACTTGCATTTTTTCCTTTATGCATGTTGTTGCTGCTGCTACTGCTGTCATGATTATTGTCATCACTATGATCACAGGTTATTGAAGGCAAATTCATTAATGAAGTCACTACAACTATGTCTGATTGGGCAGATAAAGTAAGTGATACCAGAAATCTGGTCATTTATCTGTTATCTGATGACTTTTTGTTGCTTGCTTTATCCTATTCTATAACTTTGAAATTCTGTACAAACAACTAACATTAAACCTTTCATACTGAAAATGCACACACAGGAGACATACACATTCTTTTTATTGACTTTTGCTCATTGATAAATTATAAATCATTGTATTCCCTAATCATGTTCCCGATTTTATTAAACACTTTATCTTCTTTTATCTTGACACTTTTTTTAGACTTAATTTAAAAAAAGGGGAAAATTTATCTAATATAAATTGGAATAATAAAGATGATTCTGCTCAATAATCAATATTTGACAAATTCTACCTGATTGTTCACTTTAATGAATCTCCACTAAAATACTTATAATTTTCTCATTGTCCATTAATGACAAAGAAAGTAGGATAATCCGTCCCAACTCCCAACACTACCTTTTTTTGTAAATATCAAACTCACCCCATGAAAATTGATTGATTTTGGAACCAGGACGTTTCTCTAACAAACAATTTTGTCATATATCTGTATAATTGGATGATAAGTCTTAGAACTATTGACCAATAGGCTCAAATTCAATCTCTGGTATTACTTCAGTAAATTTTACTCATTTTATTCAGGTATAGTTTCCCTTGTGTGTGTGTGTGTGTGTGTATATATATATATATATATATATATATATATACACACACACACACACACACACACACACACACACACAAAAGGTTTCCCTGCATAATTGACATTATTTAAAAAGGCAAACAAAATAAGCTTCATGCTGAATAATAAAAGATTTATTTATCAAAATTCAAACATAATATTCAAAGGGATGTAGATTTTATAACCAATTTCACAAAGTTTCTATATGCATACCACCTGTGACATGACACACATCAAGTTGGTAGTTCTGCTCCTGCCAAACACGCTGTAGCATGTCTTGCACAACATTCTCCAGTGCCTCAGTGATTTTCTGCTTATGTTCCTCTAGGCTTGTAGGAAGAGTTGGGATATAGACCTGCCCTTTCACATAACCCCACAGAAAAGAAATCACAAGGTGTCAAGTCAGGTGAACATAGTGGCCATTTCAATAGCACATTATCATTACACTGACATGTCCGATCCATCTACCTGTTAGATTCACATTGAGATAAGTTTACACAGTCAACTTAGTTTTTTTTTTTTTTTTTTATACAAATTTTGTTAAAATTTGAGATCATTTGAGTGAGAATTGGCTATGTTATTAGACTACAAAATGATGTCAATTTTGGGGGTCATCCCTTCCTCTTGGAAAAATTTTTTTCTGAAAATATACATGTATGGGAATATATTTTTCATATGTATGTATATTTTCCACTAATATTATCAATATATTGCTCCTTACCTTTATAAGTTGAGCTCTCCTTGGTATACTTCCAGTTAAACAAACAGCTTTTATTTCAACCTATTCGGATGGAAATGGAGAAATTTACTCTGGATTATTCATTAAAAACATCCCTTACCCTTCATTGCATCTTTTCTCTGTCTACCTTACAGACAGGATCATCGACCTTATTATAAGAATGAGGTGGAAAACCCATTTCTCCAGTAATCCCAAAAAAAATCATGAACTGAATCCTGAAACATACAACCTGAGATCCCAAAATACTCCACCGTGCAACAAGCTACTTGGACCGTTCGAAGGCGATTTGATTGATCTAATTAAAAGGATTAAGTTCAAGAATTATCACAACTACTTCCAAACCAAAATTGGTAGAGACCTTAACAACATAATGAAATCTAATAAATTATGGATTAAAGCCGACAAATCCAAAATTTCTATAAAATTAAACCTGCTGAATATGACAAAATCGTCACTGACAAAATTACCAGCTCTTATAAAAAAACAAAGGCAATAACACCTTATCATCTATCAATGAAGACATCTGTAAATTTGCTAACAAATGTGGAGTTGCTGACAGAATGGGCAAATTTGGTATGAAAGATGCATACATTCTCTTCAAGGATCATAAGCCGAACTTTGTCAATAGCTTACAGTCCCGTCTAATTAATCCCTCCAAATCTGAGTTGGGATTAATTTCCAAAAGTATCTTAAAGGAAATAACATCTTGTGTCCTGAATAAATATCATGCTAACCTTTGGAAGGACTCGGCGGAGACGATTAAATGGTTCCAAAATATCACTAACAAGAATAAAGCCACTTTCATCCAATTTGACATCTTGGATTTTTACCCTTCTATTTCGGAGGAACTATTAATTAATAGCCTCAATTTCGCCAAAGGATTTACCAAAATAACGGATATTGATCTGGACATTATTTTAGCGTCTAGAAGATCAATAATTTACATACAATGACGCTACTTGGGTAAAAAAGAATAATGGTAATTTCGATGTACCTATGGGTGCCTTTGATTCTGCCCAAATTGCAGATCTGGTGGGCATATATATTCTTGACACCTTGAGTAGAATAGTTGACCTTAACCAAGTCGGAATTTATAGAGATGACGGCTTAATCATTGTCCCAAATAACATGGTCCCTTAACTTCCAGCTTACATAAGAAGATTATTAGGGCCTTCAAATACTTAGACCTTAAAATTGAAATATCTTCCAACCTGAAAATAGTCAACTTTTTAGATATTACACTCAATCTATCGAATAATACCTTTAAACCCTTCCATAAAGTTGATCAAACACCCTATACATCAACATCCACTCTAACCACCCTAAACATGTGATAGATCACATCCCCAAAACTGTGAATACGAGAATAAATAAGCTATCTTCTAGCCAGAAAATATTTAATGATAATAAATTTATATACAATCAGGCCTTAAAAAAATAGTGGTTTTAGACAAGAATTAAGCTTTAATGGTGAACTTGTAAATCAGAATAATTTTTTGAAACTAAGAACAGGAAAAGGAAGGTAATATGGTTCAACCCACCATATTGCAGACTCTCTAACATTGATATAGGAAGTTTCTTTCTGAAATTAATTGATAAACATTTCCACAGTAAGCATCCACTACGTAAAAATTTTCAATAGGAAAACTCTAAAAATTAGTTACTCATGCGTTAGAAATATAGAAAAATCATATCTTCCCATAATTGCAGAATACTTAGAAACTACCACGGTAATGGAACTCAATCTAGTAACCCTACCTGCAATTGTAGGAATAAAGACCATTGTCCAATCGGGGTAAATGCAAATCTGAAAATGTAGTATACGAGGCAACTATCTTTCCCGAGGGAAATATAAACGAGAAAAAAATACATAGGTATATCCGCCGGTGATTGGAAGCAGCGTCTATACAACCATAGACGCTCATTTAGATATAGATGCCTCAGTAGACAGACTTCCTTATCCAAACACTACTGGGAACTGGTGGATAAAGGGATTAAACCCAATTTTGAAATGGAGATTCCTATCTAGAGCCAGAACACCTAATAACTTCCGCGATCGGTGTGATCTATGCATGGCGGAAAAAAATATCTTCATTATCAAAGATAAAAATCGAGATGAGCTGCTGAATCTTCGAATGAGATATTCTCTAAATGTAGACATAAGAAACGTTTCAAAACTTGAACACCGTTGTGTAACATGTTGTCACTTATGTCGGCTCCATCTCAGTCCTATAACATCGGGCATGACATTTTTAATTGTATGACTATTATGTTTATCTCTAAATGTACCTTTGTGCACGTTTATGTGATGCGCTATGTATTTATATATATATATTTGTGTATGTGTGTGTATGTATGTATGTATGTATATGTATGTGTATGTATGTGTATGTATATGTATGTATATATATATATATATATATATATATATATATATATATATATATTTTTTTTTTTTTTTCATACACATTAAAATATTTGAATCGTCACTTATTTAGATTTTAACTTTTTATATATATGTACATATGTGTATATCTCTGTGTGTATTTATATGTATGTATGTGTATGTATGTGTGTGTATATATGTGTATATTTATGTATATGTATGTATGTATATATATATATGTGTGTATGTATGTAAGTGTATATATATACGTATGGAGGTGTTTATGTTATGTATGTATATATATAGTGTGTGTGTATATATGTGTATACATGTTTATGTGTGTGTGTGTGTGTGTGTGTATGTATATATATGTGTAAACTGGTGTGTATGTATTTGCATGTGTATATATATACATGTGTAAGGGTGTGTATGTATTTGCATGTGTATATATATATATATATGTAAATGTGTATGTGTGTGTGTGTGTATGTGTATATGTGTGTGTATATGTATGTATGTGTATATATGTATGTGTGTGTGTATGTGTATGTGTGTGTATATATATATATGTGTATATATATATATATATATATATATATATATATATATATATATATATATATGTATATATGTGTATGTGTATGTATAAGTATGTATGTATGTATGAATGTATACATGGGGCATATGTATGCGTGTATATGTATGTGAAAAGTGTGTGTATATGAATATAGATGAATATGTGTATGTGTGGATATGTGAATATATTTTTAGGTTTTATATATATATATATATATATATATATATATATATATATATATATATATATATATATATATATATATATATATATATATATGTATATATATATATATATATATATGTGTATGTGTGTATGTATGTGCATGTGTATGTATTTATGTCTGGGTGTGTGTGTGTACATGCCTAAGTGTATGTACCTACTTGTATATGTTTTTTTTTTTGTGTGTATTATATGTTTTTTGAACATAGAAATATTTGGTCCTTGCTAAATGAGACAATCGTTATATTCATCTTCATATATTTATATTTGATTTTAACCTGTAGTCTTACTAATTTTCTCAATTACAAAGCGGCCCTTTAAAAACAAAATTTTTTTTTTTTTTTTTTCCTTCGTCCCATCTCTCTCCCCACCTTTTCTTTTTTTTTTTTTTTTTCCTAT